ACGGTTTCCCACTTCCTTCCACTCTAGTGTCCCCAAACTTCTCCTCTGAGAAAGTTAACGGTACTTACTCCTGGGCAGAACAGCCTGCCGGTGGGGGTGGGGGACGGGGACGGGGACGCTCCCCTGGCTCCCAGGGGATTGTCGCTGTCCTTGGAGGCTCGATTTCCCAGCACTTGAACTTAGGGGAAGGAGCTGCAGTCCTGGAGACTGAGAAGACAGCCCCAAGGGTCCTGAATACCAGATACCCTCCTGCTCCTCGGAGGAAAGACCCAGGGATGGCCTGATGCCAGGCAGGGCAGGGCCCTCTTCCCCCCTGTGTCCTGCTTCCCTCAGCCAGCCCCCGAAGCCCCTGACCCTCCGCGTTCCCGCAGGTGACCATGGCGGATCGGGCAGCAGCTGATAGGGCGTGCAAAGACCCTAACCCTATCATCGATGGCCGGAAGGCCAATGTGAACTTGGCCTACCTGGGTGCCAAGCCTAGGAGCCTGCAGACTGGTGAGAGTTTGAGTTTTCTTCCCAGCCCTTCTTGTTTCTATACTGAGCCTTGCTATCTCTCTGGTGGAATACACTGCCCCCGCTCCCCCTTTGTCCCAGAGTGTCGGCCAGAGATCATGTGCCTGTAGGGCCAGCCTAGGGCAGCCACCCCTAGCTTGGGAGCTTGATCATCTTTCTTAGCAGTGTACGGTCCGGGGATACCGATTCTCAAATGTCTGCCCTGCTTGTGGGGAGGGAAGAAGTCGGTAGCTGATGAGGCTGGATTTTAGGAGTCATCCAGAGTGCCACCTGTGGACTTATGTACTTTGACGGGGTGTTGTCAGAGTCCACTAGCAGGGTCGGAGGTGGTAGCTGGGGTGGGAGAAGGAAGCTAACTATCCTTTGTGACTGGGGAGTGTGGCTTGTGTGATTCTGCCTCCCTGTGTATGGCCCCGGGACCTTACCCGTATAGTAGGCTGTTCCTAACTGTCCTCTTGTTTTAGGCTTTGCTGTTGGTGTACAGCAGCTACATCCCACCTTGATCCAGCGCACCTATGGGTGAGTGGATATAGCTGGTGTGGGTGGGAGGGTCTTGAGGTGGGACAGCTGTGGCCTTCTCTGTCTCGGATCTGAAAGGCTGGGGAAATGGCTGTTTTCAGAAACTGGCTTGTGTTTTGGAAGTGTGGAGGAAGAGATAAGACCAACTGCATTTCTCTAATTCAAAGGGGAGCACACACACACCTGCAAGCCTGGTGCAAACCTTGCCCCCATTTAAGTGACACCTCCTCGGCCAGGTGTCCCATGGCCATCTATACCTCTACTTATCTGTACACTGAATGTGGGGACACCTGTTCTGACTCTTGAGTGGGGGCTTCAGTCCACACCCAGGGCAGGCAGCCCTCCTGCGGTGTAGGCTAAGGCTGGACCTGGTGGGCTGGGCTCTTCCTTGGGTTCTGTGCCATGAAAGTAGCTACTGTGGGTCTCTACGAGGTGAGGTTTGACATGAGAGAATGGCGTAGTAGGTGACTGTCAGTAGCTGGCTTTTTGTGTGAGTCACTTGCTCTGTGTCCCATCTCCTTCCATCCTAAAATGGGCCAGCAGCTGCTTAGGGAAGGGCTCATAACACGCTTCAGGGAAATGAAAGTTAGACCCTGCCACTTGGTTTGGCCGAAATCACCTGTTTATCCAGTGTAGACTGGCGTGGATGGGCCAGGTGGGTGGGAACTCTGAAACACACACAACATACAACCCTTTGCAATGGTGAGCTTGCCAAATTCAGGCTGCCAGGTTTTATGTCTCAGTTTGGTGGGTGGGGCAGAGTGGGGTGACAGTTGGGGCTGGAGTCGAGCTTGGCCAGCACAGTGGGCCAGATAGCTGGAAAGGGTGCTGCTTGCTCCCTCTAAGTGTGCTTGTCGTGTAGTGTGGCACTGGGGATTGGTGTGAGCTGAGCAGGGGCATATCTTTGGGGCCCTGTGGTCTGGACCCCAGCTGGCATTTCCTGTCATAATGTCACCGTTCTCTTTGGGAAGCACTTGAGGTGCTACTATGGCAGATAATGGCATATCACCTTTTTAGCCTGGGATCTGTTCCCCATGTGGTGTAGGTTGTCTAGGAGGAGTTTGGGAACATCCCAGCCTTGGTATCTTCATGGTAGCCTCTCTCCTGCTGGCTGTGTGAGGGGATTAGCCATACACTCTGGTAGCTTGCTGTGCTCCTGGGGCTGAGATATGCTCACAGACTTTTGCCTACATTGGGACAGGGCCTCCACACTGGCTCTGACACATAAAAACTACCTGGTAGTCACTAGTGCTTGGCTTCTGGGGCCCTCAGAGCTAGGTTCACAGCCTGTCTGTTGCCTCTAGGGGGTGAGGTTTAAACCTGTATACTCAGGGCCACACTTGCTGTCTTTGAGGGTGGGCTTGTCCCAAGAGCTCACATATGCTCAAGGGTGTATATGACATTGGGCCACAGTGATTTGTAACTAGATTAGTGGACTGGCCATCTAACACTGTGACTACGAAATGGCCTCCCAATGTTTGTAGGTTGCCAAGGAGTGTAGACCCCAACAGACAAGTGTGCAGAGGGACTGGCAACATTGCCACTGGTCCTTGGGTTCATTTAAAGAGCATCTTACCTCTTGCCCTTAGCAGACGCTGGGGGTGGGGTGGTAGTGGTGTGGCCAGGCCTCGCTGCCTGGGTCATTGCTGTAAGTGCTCTGCCCTCCCAGCTGGAGGCAAGAGTTAGGCTGTCAGCAGCCCCCTTTGTCTTTGCAAACAATCAGGCCTGCCTGGCTGGACCTGACTCAGCGCTTGGTTTTGTCAGTCAGCCTTGGGTTGCCCTGGCTGAGGGCCTGGTGGGAGCTGGAACCCTGGCAGCTCAGAGCCTGCAGGCGCCTGCCTGGCTGTACTTTTTCCTAGGCCTTCTGGGCCCTTGACATTCTGAAGACCCCAACAATCCACCTTAGGCCAAACCACTGTGGGACCCTCACCTGTCTGGTTAGAACTACCCATTAGCTTACAAAGATGGAGAGAACATGCTTTGCTGTTTGCCTGGGTCCCCATCTGCTTGCCCCATGCTTGCTGTTGACTGGGCCTGTCCCGCCTTGCTGGCTGTACAGCCTGTGCCTGTCCATCATGTAACTGTATCTGTGGGACAAGGCTTGGTATCTGGTAAAGCCTTCCTCAGCCATTGCAACAGCTTTTGCCAGCCTTCAGGCCTATGTGGCAATCCCTGGTGGGGATGTGACCCGGACCTTCTGTCAAGGGGTCTCTACCAGCCCTGGGGCACAGTCAGTGCAGGTGGGAGGGAGGGCTGAACAGTTGGAGATAATCCCACCCTAGTTATGCATTGATCTGGCTTGTCAGGGCCTCCAGGGTCAAGGACATCTGTTCACATTCAGCCTAAGGCTCATGGAGAGCTGAGGCTTGTCTCTGGCCTGGCAGCCCTTGGAACCTCTCCTGAGCTATATTTGAAGGGCCTGTTGCTCCAGCACGCTGCTCTCTCTGTTTTAAGGGGACCCTTGCTGTGGCAAGATGCCCAGATAGTCTGATCCTTTCTCTCCAAAATAGAGCCAGGCCCTAGGGGCTGAGGTCAGGCCAGGGTCCCAAGGCTTCTGGGCATTGGGCTGCACCTCCATACAGTAGCGGTGGCGATGGGGCCACGTCAAGGACTCACTGAGCATGGTGTATGGAACATGTTGACCCCCAAAGCCATGGAAAGTCTTGGGATTTGTCCTGGATGGTCGCACGACAGGCCCAGCAGGAAGCTGTGCCAACCTAATCTCAGGGCCACAAAGACTGCCGGCTGCCCTCTCCCTAGGACCTCTCAGGGCTATCCCTCCCTTCCCAGCACCTCCCTACTCATGACCAACAATTGGGGATCGTCTCCCTGGCAGGGCTTTCCCACAGTCATCATTTTAGAGGCTGTTGTCTGTGAGGTGGACCTGGTACCCGCATGGTGATGGGAAGGAAGGAGCGGGGTGAGCATGCCGCATGGTAGACTGTTGACCCAGAAGCTGAATGAGACAGATATCCCCAACCCAGTGCCCAGTGTGACAAGGATGCCCACAGTTAAACAGGGTCTGCTGCGGGTGCTTCGGAGGGGAATGAGCACTGCTGTGTATTGAGTCTGGCTGGCTAGTTGAACCACGTGTTCTTACCGGTGTAAACAAATGCCATAGTGCCTGGGCTCCATAGGGTCCCACACTGCCAGCCATTTCCTGCACACAGTACACCTAGTGAGGGGCCGTTGGGGGAGGGGATTGTTTCTGCCCCTCTGAGGGATTTGTCCTAATTTCCCTGAGGGCAGTGAAAGGTGAGGCCAGTGTGTGGTTACAGTAGGGCAGGCGTATGACATGCTGTGGTGCAGGAGGCCTGTCTAGGGGTGCAGCAGTGAGGGGCTGCAAGTGCGGTAGGCATGAAACCAGGCCCAGAGCAGCAGGTGGGAGCAATGCTCACCCCACCACCTGTGGGTTATCTTGGGGGTGGCCCTACTTGCTTCCTCCATCATCACTTCCTGTTTGGCAGCCTTGTCTGGAGGCGGGCGTGGGCTGTCTCAGTCTGACCCTCCCAGAGGGCGTGCAGTCTGTGCTGCTGCACCTGTTGTTTGTCGCTGCCTGCTGTGACAGAAGCTAGCCTCCGTGCTCTGAGCTTCCTCTTAGAGTTCTGTTATTGCCAGGTGCCCGAGAGACACCTGAGGCTGAAGGTCCATGGCTCAGTCTCCAGAAACGGTTTGTAGAGGCAGTTAGCCCCAAAGATGTGTCTGGGGCATGGAGGTCCACCAGGTGGCCCCTTGGTCCCTTGATGATCTTGGCCCAGGGGTTTAGACATTCCTTACAACAGTGGCCTGGCTCACTTGCCCCAATCCTCCTTTAGGCTCAGTGTCAGCTGGGAGCAGGCAGGGAATCTACAGAGTGATTCTGACCCTTCCTTTGTGTCACCCTTTGTGACACTGTGACCACAGTGCCCCCGCCAGGAGGCTTACAGCAAGGGGAAACAGACCATGCAGATTGGTACAAGAGCTGTAGAGGAAAGGGACTGTGGGGAACAGAAACCAGCAGTGTAGGCTTTTTTTTCTTTTTCTCTGAAACGAAGTCCTGTCAGGTAGCCCAGGTTGGTCTTGAACCAGCAGTGAGCCTCTTAAGTGCTGGGATCAAAGTCATGCACCATCACTTTTTTCTTTTTAAGACAGGCGGGGTCATATAGCTCAGCATGTGTAGCCCAACAGATGGTGAACTCCTGGTTCCCTGCCTCTGCCAGGATTCTCTGGAGCTGAGACTTGAACCCAGCCTTATGCGTGCCAGATAAACTCTCTACTGGGCTACACAGCAATCCCCCGCTTTCCAAGTGCTGAGATTCAGATTTGTTTTGAGGGCATCCCCTACCGCTGGGTTGAGCCAGAAGGCCTCCCCTTGAGACAGCTGCCATCCAGCCTGGGACAGTGGAATCACCTGGACCACTAGCCCTGGGGAGAAGGGCTAAGAGTCCAGAGTGGACAGTAGATGGACTGGACCTTGGAGGAGGAAGCCATCATGATGTCTGACTTTGAATGCAACTAACAGGAAGGATCTGGGCAGGTCCACGTGGACCTGCTATTTCCAGCTGGCTCTCACAGTGGTGTGCCTTCTCCCTGCCCACACCCACCTACCCCCAGAGAACCTGTGTGTCCCCCATCACAGGATTCCCAGGAGGCCTGCCAGGCTACAACAAACGAGCCACCACCCTACCCCTAGGCTGGAGCTGCCGTGAGCTGCCAGGTCTCCTCAGCACCAAGGCACTTAAGGCCCCCAGGGAGAAAGAAAGAAAAAGTGAAATGGGCTCATTTGCCTTTTTCGTTTTTATTTTCAGTAGTGGCTTTATGTTCAGGAAATGGGCTCTTCTGGGCTGTGGGCAGTGATTTCTCTGAGAGTTGGGCTTCACACACAGGGGCCGAGCCTTCACTGGTGCCACCTACCTTCAGCCCTGGTTAGTAACAGCCACGGTCGCTGTGCTCAGGGTGGGGAGGCAGATGTGTCTCAGATGTTGTTGCAGAGTTCCCATCTCTCTTCTGGGGGCAGCCAG